CTAGATCCATCGGGGGAGGTGTAGGTCAGGATATAGCCATCTATTTCTGCTTGGACCGGATCCCAAGAGAGGCTGAAGCTGGACTCTGTTATGTCTCTGGTTTTGAGGTTTGCTGGAGCGTCCATTTCTAGGAAAGATTGTTAGTGGTTGATGTCACAGAAGATCTGTACCAGAACCACGATCCGTACCATTAGCTCATTTGTGCATGCGCCACTAGAATCCGGGTCTCCCCACGTTTAATTTGTAAAGAAAACCTAAATTACCATTTTTCCTACCTAAAAATAGTAAGCGTACCAAACTACAATGTGTTAAAGGTTAATAATTTATTTCCTGAAAAAATAAATGCATTTAATACTTTCTGTTTTATGACTTATCTGTGCTCAATCTGTGCCAGAAATCGGACCCTAAGCTACTTCTGAGAGCTAACTTTTTCGGCTTTGGACTTAAACATAAATCTAGTCTTTTTTGGTTATTTTTTTTCTATATGTGTTAACCTTATGTTATATAGTGCACAATCTAAAGAAAGAAACATCTAAAAATGCAGATAAACATGGTGTAATATTTTGCCAGACTGCTCTGAGCATGTGCAATGGTGACCCAAGATAAACAGTTTTCACGAAAAAAATGTAAAAAGCATCAAGTTGTCTCAGAAAAGTCATTAAAAAAAATTCAAAGATGAGTTGTAGCATTCTTTAGGGATTTAAGGATAAAAATAAGCACTTTTAGTACTGTTTTTGGTGACCTGGATGAATATCTGCTTGCACATGTGCAAATGGGCTGATGGTACAGATCGGGTAGTGACAGGTGATCTTAACATGCAGTTATATGGAGCAGACTACGGAAAGAGGTGGGTTACAAAGAAAAAAAAATCTTAACTTCCTCATTAAAACTTGGCAACCATCTGTTTTAAACCAAATAAATCTGTTACCCATAATTCTATCGGTTAGCATTCAACTCAGTTTAAAGTTTTTAGAATATTGAAAAAAAAAAATCCTTGTTAAAAAATAAATAAATAAAAGCTATTTGGCATTATTAGTTGATGTGTTTCTAAACAAAAAGCAATAGTTCTGAAACCTGTTTCCGCTTGTGTTGAGATTTCCTTGCTGGTTTTGTCGCCCTTCATGGCTTGAATGTAGACAGTGTAGAGGACTGCAGGCCGTAAACCAGTCAGCATATAAGTGGAGCTACCAGGTCCTACGGGGATTTCTTTACTAGATCCATCAGGGGAGGTGTAGGTCAGGATATAGCCATCTATTTCTGCTTGGACCGGATCCCAAGAGAGGCTGAAGCTGGACTCTGTTATGTCACTGGCTATGAGGTTAGCTGGAGCGTCCATTTCTATGAAAGAATGTTAGTGGTTGATATTAACATACAGTTCTAAGAAGCAGACTAAGAGAGAGGTGAGTAGGTATAACAGTGTTATAGATCTCAACCCAAACGGGAACCATGTTTTTTAAAATCTGATGAACTAGTCACCCATCTGTCGGTACATATGCAACTAAGTTTTATCATGTTACATTTTTAAAAAGAAAAAAATAGCATACTCCTTAATGTGATTTCGATCTGGGATTAATAAAGTATTTTTGAATTAAATTGAATTATGTGGTGAATAAGATGATTAATTTAAATTGTTTAAAGCAAAGCCTGCGATGGACTGGCTACCTGTCCAGGGTTTTACCTCGCCTCTTGCCCGTAGACAGCAGGAGATAGGCACCAGCACCCCTCGTATCCCCGCTTGGGATAAGCTAATGGAGAATGAATGGATGGATGTTTAAAGCAAAGACCTGCAGATCTGAAACCTGTTTTCTTTTATGATGAGATTTACCTTCTAATTTTGTCTCCCTTTTCAGCTTTGATACACTGTAGAGGACTAAATATGTTACAAAATAAGATCTGCTTTAAGTCTTCAAAGCGATATCTTTACACCTCAACCAAGGTGTACGTTAGGGTGTAGCCATCAATATGTGCTGTATGGGGTCCGAGGAAAGGTTCAAGTTCTAAAGAAACATGTTTGTAGTGGGCATCAATATACAGTTCTGTGAGCAAACTATGGTAAAAAGACAGGTGACAAACTGATAATGGACTAAATATTTTAACTATAATTAACCCATGTTTTAAAAAACATTTTAGAACATGAACTTTAAAAGACAGGTCACCAGACAGGTCTTTTGGAATCATTAAGGGTTGCCAAAGTTATTAATGTTTACTTAATGCCAGAATAAAGATAGAAATTTTCATGGAATTTTACTGTTTAAGCAAGTCTTTTCTGGATTTTGGAAATGTACATTCACTAAAATGATTTGAGTCACTGAAAGCACACCTATGGGTGTATTTATGGAAACATCTGGAACACTACTTCCATGTGAGCTACTGTAAAATTAAGGAATAAAAGATATTATGAAGAAAGTTGTGGACCTTCATTCTAGGCTACAGTGTTCAGACACCTGATTTGTCTTATATAAAATAATATACAGTGTGGAAACATCTAGCCTGTTTTAATGTGATGGATGCATATTAAGCCCAAATCTAAAGCATTAGATTTGGTAAACATTCTGATTTAAACTGAAGAATTTCATTGTCAACATTATCTTCAAAGACTGTTAAACAAATAGGGATATGTTCTAGCACACATGACATATTTTTAGGAAACTTGCTAAACGGTTTAATAAAATAAAAATTGCTGTATTTGTTTGATTTTAATGATCTTGCTTAATAAGGAAGAAAAAAGTGGACTTTGTAAGTCAGTGAACACGTCACATAGTAAAGGGGTTCAAAGCATTATTTCTGTAAGATGTTCATGCCCCTTACAAAATAGATGACTTTATCGGGAAAATCTGTCATTGGCAAATTTGAGAGGCAAAGCTGGTGAACAAAACAGCCTGCTAACCAGCAAACTATTATATAAAGAGTTAAGAACGATACCAAAAACAAGTTATTGTTAGTCCAAAGGAGGTTTGAAAGCTTTTTACAAACAATATACTGGCATTTAGCAAACAATAATAGCTTTTTAATAAGAAATTACTTTATAAAGTAAATATTTAATCTTTATTTAAGTTGTTATCAGATATTAATTTTGAATTTCATGCAGTTAATAAAACAAATACTTAAGGTTGTATGTATATATCTGGTTCCAACTACACACTATGAATATTATTTGTTTTTCTCTTTAACATATCACCCAGCTATTTCTAATTTTATTTAACAAATTTTATCATGTTAAACATTCAGAAAAAAATTGTTTTCCAATTATGACAGATTAGGAACAACTGATTGAAATGATTAAGTGGTGTTTCTGAGAGAGTTGCAGATCTGAAACCTGTCTCTGCTTCCGTTGAGATCTTCCTGCTGGCTTTGCTTCCCCTGACAGCCCAGAGATAGACAGTGTAGACGACCCCTGGCCTAAGGCCAGTGAGCACATAAGAACTGTCCGATCCAACTGGGGTTTCCTCCCTGGACCCATCTGAGGAGCTATAGGTGAGCATGTAGCCATCAATTTGTGCTTGGGTCGGATCCCAGTAAACTCTGAAGCTGGAGTCTGTCTCATCTTCGACTGAGAGGTTAGTAGGAGCATCCAACTCTGCACAGGAAGTTACATTTAGTAGACATAACTTCAACTGTTAAAAAGCACAGAGAGAGAGGAATTAAAACTACACATAGATCAGCTACGTCTATGCATGAGGAGTTACAGCCAGTGAGATCGAAGAAAGTGTTGATGTCAAAGTTGAATCAAACAATGCATTTTGTTATTTGAATTTATACAAATGTCATTATCTGGTGTTAATTTATTTTGGTTTCTTTGAAGGTGACCCGATTGGAATAATATTAAGAACATAAATAGATGATTAAATCCAACTGTGACATCAAATCCCATTTCTATGTGTAGTATTGTCAGTGAACTATGATCTATGTTAATCCTAAAGCATGCAAACACTGTGAAAATGAGGGTAAAATGAAGTTTTTAACTGCATTTTAGCCAATTCCACCAAGTCACATAATGCTATGGGTACATTTATTGACAAAAAATATTGATAAACATCAATATTGACCAAATTGCAATAATTTACCAATAAACTCTAATAGGTTTGTTTGACAGGGTAAGAAATAATTATGTCTTAGAAGAAATTTTTCCACCTTCCAATAATCTCATGAAGAAATGAATAGAAAGGGAGGTGAATTTAATAGTAACTGACATTGTGAATAACTATCTGAACTACATGGCTTATTTTGCATAAAATATATATATGATACAATAAAATCATATATTCTGTTTACACCTTCCAAATATAAATAATGAACTATTTTGGTGGATGGAAAATACACTCTATGCAAACAATTTAAAAATTACCTCTACATATTAGGTACTGCATTAATTAGATTATAACTGATAAATATTCCCTTTTTGTTAACTGTAGAAAAGATTTGGAGATGTACATTCCAAGCTCTGCTTCTCTATTAAGAACAAGAGTATTTTGCAATGTACAAAATTACTATAATAAATAAATGTAAATAAATCATCATTGTAATGTTTGTTATTTTTCCTTTTGAAAAAAGGAAAAAAGTAACTAATATTTTTATTTGAATCCACGTTAATTGTGAAGACCCTCTGGGTAAGCAGTGTTAACATATATTCAAGGGTCAGGAAACATAGCATGGATAGTGGTGCAGTTTGTAATGCTGCTCTCTAATAGTGAGAAGGTAATGGGTTCAGTTCTGGGCTTTCTACTTGGAGAAAGTTTTTAAGGTTAGTATTGAAATGTATCAAGAAATGTATTTTTACATGTTTTGTTATACTGTTATTGCCATACATTTGCTAATATAATTTAAGCAAATTTGCTCAAACAAACTGAGTGCAAATTCTTGCTGTGTAAATTACAGTAAGCTTATTTGGTGGTCAGCAACATATGCAAACCATAGAAAGAAAAAGGTCAGGTAAGAAAGAAGAAGATATTGAATTCTATTTCCTATCTCATGCTTTTTAAAAGCAGAGTTAATTTCTGTCTATACGTATTTTAATAGATAAAATCATTTGAAAATTATACCTAAAGAAATGTTTTCAGAATAACTGAGTAAGTCTAGTTCCCTCCGATTTAAGCCTATTTGTGGGGTTTGCAGTTTACATATTTCAATCTCTAAAAAGCAAAAGTAATTCTACTTTCTTATTTAATTTTTGTTTTACTTTAACTTGAGTTTCCATGCTTATGATTTTCAAAAAAATGACACTCATCCCATCATTGTTGAATATAAATGCCCCCAATAATGTTGGTCCTGCTGTGAAGCTGTTTTTTTTTTTTTTTTTTACCTTTGTCATTCTGAAACAGCTGCTCACACCAAGAACAGTAGGCTCTAAAGGCAGGAGAACATGAAAGCCCAGAGATGCCAAATTGCTGGCTTTGACACATAGCCAAAATGGCTCCCCTTATGCTTTCCAGACATTAGATGCAGGATGAGGGAATTGCTTTTAAATAAAGACACCAACTTCATTATAATAAATAATCCTTGCTAAACAGAGTGTGAGGCTCCCTAAGTAAAGGGGAGGTTAATGCAAATGAACTGATGATTCATTCTACCATTTTTAACAAAACAAGTAAGAAATTCTATTAAAAATCCAGCAAATCTTTGAACAATACAAGCATGAAGACAATACCTGTTCTTACCTTTGACAGGTATCTGGATTACCAGCATCAAGCTAAATATTATCTTGCAGCAATAAATCAAATCAAAGATCTCCCAAAACGGGCCTGGAGCCTAATCCAAAGTTTACCTGTTTCAGCTTCTGTTGAACTCTTTTCACTGACTTTGTCTCCTCTGAAGGCCCAAATGTAGACTGTGTGCAGGACTCCAGGCCTCAAACCAACCAGCCTGTATGAGGTGCTGTCACGGCCTACAAAGATCTCTGAGCTGGAGCCCTCAGCAGATGTGTAGCTCAACATGTAGCCTTCGATTTCTGCCTGGACCTTATCCCAGGAGACTGTTGCAGTGTCTTCAGTTACTTCAGTAGTGACAAGGTTTGATGGTGCATCAATGTCTAAACAGGTAAAAAAAAAAAAAAAAACACAAGTTGAATTTATTAAAAAAAGTAAAATTAAATTAAATGCAGTTTGTATTTGCTCGAAAGGAGAATTATAGTAAATGTCCTGTACTTATTTAACACTTGTTCAAGTCAGGGTATCAAAAACTTTTTACAGTACATTTACTCTATTCTCCAATAGTGAATGACATATGGTGGCAAGACGACTGGTGGTGGCAAGATGGTGGCAACACTGTAGCCACAGCTGCCCTAGGCATGCTGAAAGATTTGAGGCTGCCATACACAAGTGGCACCGGGCCCTCTGACCATCTGTAAGGAAAGTGGGTGAGGTGTCTTGTCCAAGAACACAACAACTGAGCCAGACTGAGCATGGATTCAAACCAGCAATCATCAAGCTGCACGACAGACTTCTGCATCCAATGCCAATGTAATATTGCTAGTCTTTAAGGCTGCTTAGAGCCTGTAAAGGTGCAGCAAATTATAGCACCAACACGACAACTTTAATTTAACAAAGGAGGAGAACAAGGACATATGGAGGAATACAACCCAGAGTAAGATGTCGATTCATCCATGAAAGAAGAAAAAAGCGTCAACTTGGATGATAGACTTCCCAGCAGTGTAGTTTTCATCAACGATGATGAAATAATTTTGTTTACCCTCCTTTTTTTATAAGGATTTAAAAAAAAAAAAGCTATACATGGATCTTTGTTGACAAAAACTTGAGAGATAGGGGTGTGAGCTTTAATCAACGAGACTAAAGAAGAATTAGCAGGTAGTTGGTCAGACATTTAAAATGCATCATTGTGCTGTAATCTGCTAAGCAGTATCAGCCGTGCTGCTTCGTCCTCTTTAAACACGCAGCCCACCTGACCTGCAGGGGCGCTCCTTCTGCATGACCACAGATGGATCATGGCAGCGGCGACAGGTGTGAAAATAAATCCAGAATGGTGCAAGTGTCTGACAGAACACCGATACTGCATGCTGAACTCTGACAAACTTTTCTGCCAGCTGTGCTTATGCAGAAATGCATCCTTGCACGTGCGTACCTCAGAGTCTGTGCTTTAAACTCCACACTGATGGTTCGCTATCGGCAATATGGCTCTTCCTGCTCTTTCTACTTAATAAACTATATGTGGCTGATCATCCTCTGCCAAGCATAAAAATCCCTTTGTCTAACTAGCAAGATTTTATTTCTTCCAGCTCACAAGAGGTGATGCTAAACATTCTTTGACTTCTACCAAAAGGAATCCCTAAATTATATCCAAAGAAAATATTTCATTGCATACTGTACTGTTTATTTTTGGATAAAGACACAGATGAAAAGGTACATAGATATTTGAATATTTCTTTCTAATGGTTCTCGCTTCTGTCTATTTAAATATGATGTAAATGTTTCCTTGAATTGTCATTAAAACATTTTCTGTTCCATTTCAATATTTCAACATTTTAGTTAGCCTGTTCGTTGAATTTAGGTTTTTTAATTTCCAGGGCATTACAAGGCACTTATGTAGGTTCTCTCTGTATTTTCTCAATATCAAAACCCTGTGAATTCAAATCTATTTTGACCCCTGAGCAGCAGTAACTAAGGGGTGAATTCTCAGAAATAAAGCCAGAATTGCCAAAGTAGAAAGAAGAATGTTTTTGCTCTTTGCTTTTTTGGAGCAATGAAGATTTTATTAATCTGTGTGTAAGGTATAATTCATAGTAGATCAAGTGCTTGCTTTGGGATGGAAACCTTGTATGTCTAAAAACCTTCCTTTATTGTACATTTTGTTAGCTTGTCTGTCTGCTATATTAATCAATATGATGTGTAGAGCTAGATCTGCTATTTTCACAACTTTTGTGAGGCAGTTTTGAGTAAAGAAGGACATTAATACATATACAATTTTATTTGAATTCTCTAAATCAAAGTTTACTGCCTAACAGCAATGATAAACTGCACGGCAGCACTGTATCTCCAGCAATCATAATATCTAGGCAAGAGCTGTCAGTATGGTAAAGAATCTGGCTGTTATTCAAAATTGTAAAGGTTCACTTTTTTTGCAACATAAAACTGACTAAAATAAGACTAGAACCTCTTTAAGTTTTAGTCGACAAAAAACGACTAAAACTATCACATATCATAATGACTAAAATGTGACTCAGAATAATAATATTTTTCATCCTGAAGACTAAGACTAAATCTAAGATGGCTGTCAAAAACAATACTGCTACAAAGTCGAAAATGGCAAGTGGTATCTCCTGAATAAAAGCAGTCTTTCTGCCCTGTTAAATGTAAAAACGTATGGAATTCAGTCAATGTGTGTTAAATGACAGGTGTTCTTTGGGGCAAAATAGATTTAGGGTTTAAAATTCATTAAAAGCTCTTTTTTAATCAGGGTTTATTGAAGCCAGGTTATGATTAGTGTTGCGCTGATGCAACTTTTTACCGATACCCGACACCTGGCTGTGCAGTATTGGCCGATACCAATACCATACTAATACCATCTGTTTGAAATTGATGTGTGTGTGTATATATGAAGAACTGCATACTACTTGGATGTAAAATAATTGCCATCATGGCTTTGTCAAGCTGCTGCCTACCTTTGTGAAGCAGGAAAAAGACTCATACAGAGTGAATCCAGTAGAACTTTTTATTGACTACCTGGAATGGGTGACAATAGTTAAATAAACTTTTGGCTTTCAAAATGGTATCGGTGCCCTATTTGTTGGCAACTCACTGACACCGATACCATAATTTTAGTGGTGGATCTGGGCCCCATGCAACACTAGTGCAACACTAGTTGCTCACAGGTCATAGATGTTTACAGAACATGAGGACCACAGAATGGTTAAAACAAAAGTTGGGTCAACAAAATATATAAGATAAAGAGTGTACAGAGTGTACAGTGTACAAGCTGTTGCATAGTAGCCTTTTGCAAAAACCTATGTTTTTGGTCTTATTTGATCATTTCACAAAAAACATTTACATTGGAGCCTTTGGACTTTTTTGGTCTACTATATTGCCCAAAATTGCATACAGGTCAATGCAGACCAGCCATTCTGGATCTCCAATTATCTAAACTAATTGAACCAGAAATATAAAACATTATACTCAGATTTCAGAAAAAGGAAGTGTTGTGATCGTTCTCTAAAATCTGGATCTAAAATGTTTTACTTTATTCGTTTGACTGATGCTAAGAAAAATGCTGATATCATTCACAGCTTAATCCTTTTAAAACTGTTTTGATCCAAAAGGGCAATGGGATGCTTAGTATAACCTTTTGGCTTGATGCTGATTGGCAAATGTACATAAGAGTTTTTGATTGACATTGGCCAGACAGCGAGGAGGTTTTCCTCCTGAGTCAAGGTGGGGAAGGGATCATTCAGCCAGAACAGTCATCTTGTGCTGAAATCTAGCCATGGTTTCTGCATTTTATCTCAGAGCGCTTCACAACAGCTATTTACATCCATTGCACTAATGTGTTTTATGTGTTTCAACATCTTTTGATGCAATATGTGTTTCATCATTTGTTAATGCAATACGGGACGTTTGGATTTAATTAACACCATTGAGCCTTTCCTGTTTCAGGGAGCAGCAGCCACCACCGCTGCAAAACTGGCCTCCAAGAACTTGAAATCTAAGTACAAACTGGTTGTTCAGTTGCCAAGATTCAGACATCAATGACAGTTAATTACTCCTGTTCTTCTCTTCGCTTGAGAAGCTTTCCAGCAGGGGTTATGAGAGCGAAACAACAAAGAAATCCAAAGAAATTTGTTTGATCTCTGATAACTCTTTTAAATCAATAGACAGGGTTAGTCAATCTAAACAATAAAACATATTTTTAGACTGTCCAGTTACTCAACATTTTTCGAGAGTTGGTTTTGGTTGGACAGTTTTACCAACATAGTACGGTATAAGAAAGAGAAAGATCTGCTAGAGCTACTTAGATGGATACAAAACCTGTTCAGTCTACTTCATGTTTGTCTGACTGAACTTCACCTCTTGAGCTGCAGGGCAAGTAACAACATAAAGCTTTCATTTCTGAAAGTCCATGGAGGCATACAGAAGGTGAAGGAAGAAGCAGCTGGTGTCCATGAAAATGAATGGCTTTGTTCATTTTTTACCTAAGAACACCAAGAAAGGCAGACAACAAAGAAGAGGATGGCAGGAAATAAAATAGTCAGTACCAGATGCATCATAAGAGAGGAAGTGGAGGGAGATGTTAAAGCATTAATCATTTGGGGTGTTAGTTTGTGGATGTGGTTCAGTCAAGGTTACTTCTCAATCAGTATGCAGTCTGAAACTAGAAGACTTTTGATGACCCACCCAAAAGAAGAAACAAACTTATTCCACTGCAGAGCTCTATATTCCCAGTCTTTTCTGTCCTCTCCTGCAGTCACATTGAAGCCCCTGGCTGCAAACTTAACAGTAGGGAAAACTTAAAGTAGCCCTTTCATCAGTGTTTCTAGAAAAATTGTCCCATCACCCTCAGTTTCAAACGACACTTAAAAATAGGCTTAAAGACTCACAAAGAGGAATTATAAAATGTATACTTAAAAAAAATCCCAATATGATTGCATCTACCTACAAACTCTCTGTGAAATCATTAATTCAGTTTATTTTTTTTAAATCATGCCAAGTCAAAACACATGTAATCTTAAGGTACTTTACCAGAGACAATTCAATCAGATTGGTTAAAGGTTTCTGTCAAGGAAAACTGATCGATTGTATTGAGTCATTCACTTGCAAGACATGCTCCTGGATGAGCTGGCAGTGACCATTTTCGCTTGTAATTTGTTGTTGACTCTTCAGCAATCCCTCATACTGAGCATGCATTCAGCGACAGGAGAGGAAAAAACGCCTTTTAAGAGGAAAAAACCTCCTGCAGAATCAGGCTCTGTATAAGCGGCCTTCTGCCTTCTACAAGAAAAAGCAGATATACAAAAGTTAACCGTTAACTAGCTTCACAGGCAGGGTCGTCCACGAAAGGCACAATCAGGCAGATGAGCTCTGAGCCAGTTCACATGCCAGAGGATGAAAGACAGCACATAGACTTAGTCACAGTAAAAGAAACAGGACTACACAGAAAAGTAGGCTATGCTCCAACATCTATAAACAGAAATGTTGATGGCAGCAGCTAAGCTGATATTTCATTCCAGGATGTGCATCAGCCAAACAGAAACAGACCAGATGAAACTAACATGACAAGAAAAAACTGAGAAAATTAAGCAATGGGTTGAAAGAAATACTGCACAATTGGAGAATAAAGATAGAATGAAGGAGAATAATGAACAGTGTTCCCTATGTCATCCAGCAGCCTAAACATATAGCAGCATAAATATAGAAACTTTCTCAGGATAAACTAATTATTTTGGATGAGGTATGAGGAAGGAGGAGCCAAGTAGAAATGTCTGTCCAGATTGAATTCTCCTGTGCCAGAGATTTACAATAAACTTGATAAAAAAATTTAGATATTACAACTTTGAAAACGCATGAATAAAAAATGTATTGCTTCTAAATTACTTTTTTTTACAGGATACATTTTTTTCATGTCAGCATAGGCAAAGACAGCAAAGTTGTATTCATCCTTGTTTAGGTGTCAGCCTTTCTCTGACTTTTTATGTAATTGCTGCTACAGTAGGATATTTGTACCAAAGCTGTAGTATATGAAGGATCCTGTTACCACAAATGTTATACCTCACTGACTGTGTAGCATCTGCGGCTATACAACAAAAACTGCGGCCTCGGTCACTCGGAAAATAGCTTATCCATTATAAGTGGCATGTTCGGCTGAGTCATTGAACACAGAGCTCAGAGGAACAGGCTGCCTTTTATCAAGTGCAGCTTCACAGCCTCATGTCCTCGCTGTATAGTGAAAGTGATAAAGTGCACCTAAAAAGACAGCAGCATCATTTTCTATAGATATCCATTGTGTTTCTTGGAAAAGCTAAATTTGTTGTGTTTTCCCAAGAATTATTTTCTCTATCTTTTGAAAGCAGCAACATGTTATAGTAGAAAGTGTTTTTAATCATGTACAGTAGCAAGATCCAGGCCTAACATTTGATTAATACAGAATCCAGAAATTGTGATAAATAATTATTTTGTCTGTCACTGTGGTGGACTGGAGACGTGTCCAGGGTGTACATGCCCTCTTGCTCAGTGAGTTAGAACCAGCACATCTGTGTCCAGTATAAGATAAAAAATTATGGAAAATTAATGCATGGATGGCTCATTTATTTACCATGTGTGCATTAAGTTTGCATTTTAAATATTTTAATAAAAAAACACATATTAATGATATTTAATTAACATCCAAAATGTATAGACATCTTAGAATATAACTAACTGTCTAACGCCCTCTAGTTAATATTACTAGTACACAGCCAATCGGCTGGCTGAAAAAAGAATATTGAAAGTTTATACTATTATACTACTATTCTAATCTACAAGAAAGAGGAATTTCACAGCTGAAAAAAATATTGGAAATTAAACCATTCACTTTTATAACATGACATACTATGAACACAATGTCTGTTAAACACCAGATTGTAGGCTTTTCTCTGAAGCAGAAAAAGGCTATTAACAATTTTGTTGTTTAATCTATTTAATCAGACAATACCAGTTTGTTGTGATCAAAGGTTCAGTCTGTAAATGGAGAACTCTAGTAAGGTAATACTGTGTTTTTTCTTTTTTTGTGTGTGTTTTTTTACATGAAACAACTCTTATTAAAGCTTGTGTTTCTTTAGCACCATTTCATTTCACATGTCATCTCAAGCCAATCAACAGAAACAAGTCAATCAGATCATCGAGTCAGATCGGTAAAACATTCTGAGGCAAACCAGATAATAATATCCAAGTCATTGACTTTGCAGGACATGTTCCTCCTGGATGAGCGAGTGGCGACAGTAGATATTCACTCTGCATCTTGTCTTCGACTCTGCTATTATCGCTGGTTTATTTAAAGTTCCAGTTTACGTCTGTCTGACAGGCTAAATATTTGATGGCAACTTTAGTTTTTTGTTAACAATCCATTCTGTAAAAAACTGCATGGCTTCCATTGGTTGTAAAATGCTGCACAATGTCCTGAAATTCAAAAATCAATGCCACATATGTGTGTTCAATATCAACTAAAGATTGCTTCCAAAAGTCGTTTATTTTTGGTACAGTGTATGCCGTCAGATTTTACACAATTTACTTTCAATTTCTGCTTGACATAAATATATTCGGCCAGATGGATGTAAATGATCTTTTAAGGCAACTCATGAAAGAAACTGTACAGCTGAAGATGGCCTAGCTCATTCTGTGTGGTTGGGTAACTTTGATAGGGGATTAAAAACAAAATCACGGTTATAATATGGGTTAATCATAATAGATGCTGTTATGCATTGGTTTCATAATATTTTCTAATCCTCTGAACAAATATACACATTTTTTTCTTATTTTCTCCTTACATAGATGAGAAAATGCTTCCAGATAATTGCTGAATAAATATAAACCAGACAAAAGGAATGCTTCGATTTAAGAGATTTACAAGATATACAAAATCAGAAGAAAAGTTAAAAACAATCCTCAGTTAGCTAATTGGATAAATACTATGCTGTTGTAATAGCTAGATGTTATGTTAAAGAATGCAAACTCTAAACCTATATGATAATTACAGCAAAATTACATACAGTAAACATTAAAATAAATGATTTGGTGAATAAATACATGATGAGCCTTTAAAGTTCTGGACACATAAAAAAGTGCATTGTTGAAAAAAAAAAAGAATGAAGATCTCTCTTTAACATTTGTAAAAATTTCACATTTACTTTTTTCTTGAATGTTTTAACAAAATCTCAAGTATGTTTTCAGATCCTTTCTTGGATAATTTCCAGCTTCTCTATGAAAGAGTCTGGAAGGGATCAAGAGATGAAAATGGGGGAAACACAAGGCAGATGTTGAAGGGGAAAATGAAATATGTGAAAATATTTCCTCTGAGAGGCTTTGGTTATGGGAAACATCAACATTTCCTCACAGAGACTTCTGCACAGTAAATCATTATCTAATATAACAGACACAGAGAATTCTTTCTTGGGGACCCATTATCCTAATGTGTCTCCTTAGATTCCTTCTTTAGGAGCTGATAAGCCAAAATATTTTGACTTATCAGGATGTACTTTTTTCCAATCACTGTCCAAATATTTTGCAAATTTCTAAAGAATTTTTTTTCTTCATAGCACTTTCTGCCTCATTTATTTCAATATTTGTGCTTGCTTGAATAACAATTCCTCTTTTTTGCTTCTTTTATCTCTCTCAATTGAATAACTGCTGTGTGGGGATAGACAGTATGCTTACTGAGATAAAAGGTTAGGTCTCCTTTTGCGCCATGCCAGTCATCATGAAATGATTGAGACAGCCCTTGCAAACACAGCCAAAGACTATCCTCTTCAATCACCTCTAAGCCTGTTCGTGTTAAACCTAAAATGAAGGATGTAGCTACTGGAGTGAAGACAAGCTACTGCCTGTCTGTTGTAGATTAGAGTGTTCGCACTCACATGCACTCTCAATTTCAGCACATGTAGGTGGCACATTTACGCAGAATGAAAAAAAAAACATCAGCAAAGACAGAAATCCATGAGTACCTGTCTGGCCTCATAAGATGAGAGGTAAGTCTTGAAAACACGCCGCTAAGCCAGATGACTTAAAATCATTAAATTGGCTACTGCAGAGTCTGAATTACGGAGAGACATGGATGTGGAGACTACTTTTCTCTTTTTTTCAACCAGGTAAGCTCAGAAGGTGGCTGATAGAGAAGCTGTAGGAAGAGTGCGAGACAGAAAAAGAGAATAATGAGAATAACTGGAGACCTGTCATGCTGTGTATAGACCATGCAGAATGTCAAGAACAGCTGTTAAAAGGGAAGATAAAAAATAAATTCCTCCTCACGTACTAAAGCCACTCAACACAAACAGAACGACATGCTGATATACAAGAATACCAGATGGTATCTGTAAATCACAGACTCTCTCACCTCAACCATCAGGGAGCATCCGATGGTCTCTACATTCATATCATGTTTCCCCTTGATGACCTCACCACAACCATTAAAGCTTGTCCATATGATTAGGTAGTAAATTCGTGGTCTCTGTCAATAACCCATAATTGTGCCCCTTGATGGCCAAATTCATTATATTGTTATTATTGGCTGAGTGGGGATAATAGCAGGTTGTACAATCTGGTTCATCAGTTAGATGAATGATTGATTAAGTGTTGCACCTCCTAGGCTCTGACCTCTGGTGAATTACTGATGTTCTGAGAAGAATGACGTTTTGTCTCTGACTCTACTAAAAACTAAAATCTTTTATTTTTCTCCAATGCGTTTCGTTTCCACATGTGCATAACAAATCATTTATCATTTGATTCAGCCATCTACTCTGTCTCCTATCTTTCACAAATACATTCTCCATGCTAATGCTGCCAAATAGAAGTCAGTTCCAGGACAACTGCTCACTGATAATAACAAAGGGTCATGATGAGTAAAGTTCATTTAAGAGGTTACTGACCTGTGACACCAGTAGTAAAAGAGGCCTTCCCTCCGGCGTTTCCTTTGATGGACTGCACAGAGATTTGGTACTCTGTTCCTGGATATAGACCTGCAGGAAGACAGATTTTTTTATGTCCAAATTGAAAGGAAAAGCTTTCATTTCTTTTATTAATCCACGTGTCTAAATCACACAGAAACAACTGAAATAAAGATTTTTGGAATTAAGAGGATTAAGAATTTAAAAGCTACAATAACTTAACTTTTTCACTTTAATCTTCTATCAACTTGTCTCAGTGTTAAATCATTTTTATCTTTTGAGCCCCACTTTTGATGATTTTCATCATCACGTCTGTTATTTTTTTGCATTGAATGTTTTTTTATTATTTTTTTTTATTTAGTGGCTAACCTGAAATGTTCATGTTTAATCACTCCAGTAAGCAATATCATCATATAAATCTCATATCTGAGTCCTAAATCCTCTAAGTCTTAAATCTAAACATAGATATATAAATCTTAAATACAAATTTTTACTTCAATCTAAATATATGTCTGTAATTTATTTTTAAAGCTTAATATCTTAAATCCAAATGTTTTAAAATATGTAAAAAACATATATATATATTTCATTTTTAACATATTTACTAAACTTCAAATAAACATTTTAATTTGGATTAAGGGTATAAATATAAGACATAGATTTAGATATGGATTGAAAATGTACAGTACATATAAATATAACATTTGACCCTACTTTATGAAAGTGTGACATTTAACCCTGACTAACAACCTTTAATAACGAGTTGCATTAGGTTGAGAGGCTAAATAATTCCCTCTGCTTACATTCCCCAATCTGATCGGAGTTCAGAAAATTACAGATTAAAAACCTATTTTCTTTTATTATTAATCCGGGATCTATTGGGATACTAATGTTATTTTTATAATTTCCATTCCAAAAAATACCACTGGAGACAGAAAAGCTAGAAAGCAATAATAAGTTTTGCTTAGTGTAACCCCTGTAAAGATCTTTCTAGTATTTTTTTAGGCAGAGGGGATAATAATACTAAAAACACAAAATAAAATTATTCAATCTAAACAATCTAATATTTTTGCATAGTTTGATCTTTTTCTTTGAAAGCATTTAGCAAGTTATATTCTCATATCAGTCTTACATCCCTTCCCTTGGATGACTTACCTACAATAGTGTGTTTGGTGCGTGCCTCTTGACTCCTCTGAACATTCAGCTCCTCCTCCTGTCCTGATGGGTCGGTGTGTGTCAGTCTGAAATAATCCACTTCTGCCTGTGGGTTCTTCCAGTCCACTTGGATTGAAACCTCTGTCTGGCCAGTGACTCGCATATCATCTATGGTTGAGACATCTGAAAAGAATACATTTCATAGAAGTGGGTGTACAGACAGGAAAGGTCTCCACTAAAGCTAGAGAAAACAAGTTCATGTGATCTGGTCTGCCTCCAATTCCCGCAAAACTAAGTGCCGATGCATTGGCATGTGAGATTTCTGAGGGGGAAGCCAAAACTTACCTTTCAGCCATGAAGACAATAGTTATTGTTCTAAAAGAATATATTTCAAAATTTGGTCTTGTTAGAGTAAAAAGGAGACAAGCAGTCAACATTTTTTTTTATTTAAATTATGTTGTTTATTTGGTGGTTCTCACTTAAATTGCTCTGACAGTTTTGTAATTATTTTTAAAATGTACAATATTTCACCACAAATATGAATAGCACAATAATGTGGCCTAAGGAACAGATTTAAGGTTATGGTAGATAACTAGCGTAGTGAACAAGCCCCACCCGCCAGCGGCCAAAATCAAATTTGCCTGCGAGTGGTGTAGCCCCGATCAATGTCCCAGGCACCAGAAATGACGGGCCAATCACAACGCAGAGATGTGTTTTGAATTTCTGGATGCAAAGCGAGCAGGAGCTTGAGGGCGTAACGACCAAGATGCGTGACGCTCGAGAAAGCACAAGGAAAATGGCAAGAACCATTGAACAGTTCTCATTTGACTCAGCTTTGGAATCAGTTTTGGAAGGATTAGACCTGGGGGTTTTCGTTGAAACGTAAACAGGAAGAGGCTCTACGCTCATTTATTTTTAAGAAGGACGTATTTTTAAGAAGGAGAATGAGAATGGGGCATTTAAATCCTACTGAAACCTATTGGTGAATGTAGAATAGCTATAACGACAGTGGCGTTGGATGTAGGAGTTTGCCCTGAAATCGAAGGATTGATGGTTCAAGCCCTGGCTCCGACTTTCATTGTCGTTGTGTCCTTGGGCAAGACACTTCACCTGCATTGTCTACTGATGGGGGTCAGAGGGCCCGGTGGCGCCAGTGTACGGCAGCCCCGCTTCTGTCAGTGAGCCCCACGGCAGCTGTGGCTACATTGTAGTTTGCCACCCTCAGTGTGTGTGTGAATGGGTGAATGAATGTAGTGTAAAGCGCTTTGGTCAAGTCTCCTGACTTGAAGAAAGGCGCTATATAAGTACATGCCATTTACAATTTACCATAAAAATATATTTGTAAAAAAAATTTTTTGTGTTTTGTTTTGGGTTTTTTAAATCTGATCATCATTAGAAAGTAATAAGATTTTTCGGCAAGACTTGATATTCACTGAGAGATGGGAGATCATGTTTGGAGGATTTTGTTCTTGATCAGTGATTGTCTAAATCAGATCACTTTCCCTGAACACACTATACCAGAGCAATAATAACTCCTAGCGATAACACACTTCACTGCAGACATTCTTGTTTAGAATAAAATAACAATTAGGGGTGTTAAAAAATAAAGTAGGCGGAAACAAAAAGATAAAGACGATTTTCTCCTAAGAGGAAAAGCATAAGTAATACACAGAAACCGATGTTCAGAGATTATAAATCCAATTGTATTAATCGTTTAAATGTTAGGTTGGCTCTTAGGGGGGACCTAGAGGCATACAGGAGCAAAAATCAATAGCATACAAGCAGGCTTGAGATAGACAAAGAATGGACTTTGAGTAAAAAAACAGGCGCGGCCTTGAGCACGGAACATGACTAAAACAGATAACCCAGTGGGGCACAAAGAGAACTTAAGAGTAAAAACATAGCAACACACAGGTGAAAGCAGAGGAGCTGATTGGCATGACACAGGTGGAGCACATGGAGCTCATTCCATACTGTGCTGAGAGATGGAAGACTCAAAACAATAACTTACTAAAGAAAATCATACAGACAAACCAGGAAATAAAACACAGGCTCACTTAGATAGTCTTAGAAACTGCTATCACACAATCTATAAGTCATAACAAAAGTAATTTCCCTCTGGGATTATTAAAGTATTTCTGATTCTGATTCATCATCCAAGTGGTGACGTTTTTTTCCACTGATGACATGTGAGGAAGTGCACCTTACCCTGCAGGGATGTGCCTAGTGTTTAATGAAAACTTCTGTAATCCAATACTTTGTGCTCTCTTCATTCTGCGACAACATTGTTATCTGGCTAGACTCTCTACACTGAGATCTGTCACCATTTGTCGAAAATGTTAAAGTCAAGTTCCATTTGAGAGATGTCCCTTTAGAGGATGTTTTAAAACTCTATCATAGTTTCTGGGTCTAAAAGAGCAAGAAAGAGACACAGAGATGAGCTGAGTTAATGACACGGTCTGAAAGGCGAGGGGCGGCTAGTAATGACTCAAGGTGCTCTAACAGACAGGTTTCTAATGTATTTGTGAAAATAAGAAGGTAAATGTTTTTAAAACCATTATTTCCACAGTCATTTCCTTCATTAAGCTTCAGCGTATCTGCCTAAATTCAGCATGACTTTCTGTGTAACCAGAAGAAACCTGAGAGAGGGAGATGTCAGTTTCAGGGTTGATAGGGTTATTCAAAAAAGAAAAAGTGTAATTTTGCTTTTTCCTGACCTTTTTCAAAATGTTTAAGTGCAAGGCAGTGCATGGCTCTTCTTTACACAGTGTGTAATCTCGCCTTTGCCCCAATACAAATAATTGATGGTCATTTATGTAAAAAAAAAAAGCTGCTTACGGCCTGTCTATGCTGTAGTTACACCACAAATCTGAGCAATAAAAAAAAAATCTATAATAGATCAAAAAAAATATTGTGATATGTTAAATTAAACAAAATTCATTGAGTGAAAATCAAAAGGAATGCTGTAACTGTTCTCAATTAGTTTTTTTTACTAATTGGTCTGACATTTTTACAACAGTACTACGATTTCAATGTTATCAGACAGTATGAAAAAAATTCACGCAATTATATAGAAAAAAATCTCTATTTGTTTTTTAGAGATCAGAAATTAGCCACAAAAATTCTTATTTTAGCAACTTTCTTTAGGACATTTTCTTTTAATTCAATACCTTGATGTTATTAAAAAAAAAAAAAGAAAAAAAAAAAGAAAACCCTACTTTTATTTTAGTTAACTTTCCCATAGTTCATTTACATCAGTAGACAACCATATCATTAGAATAATTTCATGACTGTTACTAACCCCATCTTGAGTTTTGTAAACTACATGGACATAAATATTAGAAAACACATTTGGCACACCTTTTCATAACAAGAAAAAATAAGTGATTTTATTTACAAATGCAAGCCAAATGGTAATTTTTTAAAATTTTTTCCCATGCGAAGACTTACCTCTGGATCTACAACATATGGTGAGAAAAGATACAAAAAACCATTACACAAAACAAATGAAACCAGTTAGCATATTTTATGTCTGTTTTTTTTTTCTCCTTTTGTTTGTTTTCAAAGGGAAATTAGAAAGTACTCACTTAAAGCCCCCTTTGAAGTAGACCATCGTTTGAAGTTAAAATGAAAAGTATGCAACCCGTGAAAGGTCTGCCTCATTTTGCTCTCTCCTCACACAGCACCAGGCCAGATGATGTTGTGTTTTCTTGTGGGAACAGCCATGAAGTATGACTTTTTTTTCCATGAAAACCAGTCAAACCACATTTCACAATCCAACTCATCTCCTTCCTTCTCATTAACTACCATAAATCCAGACAAGAAATCCCTTCCCCTACCACTCTGTCTCCTACCACATCTGTGAGTTGCAGTTTATGGTAAACACATCCATGCAGCAGTTTCCTTGTAATTACCATAATGTAATGCCTAACAAGCCAGTGCCTAATGAAACAGTCAAACACGGTATATTGAGCTTGATAAGTAAAAGATTACACGGTAAAAAACTAATCAACTCAGCATTTATTTATTTTATGTTGAAGGGTTGTACAACAATACTTAAAAGCTACATATATTAATATATTCTTATTCCAGGGAGCATTTTGTCTTGTCAACACGAGTTATTGAAAATTGTAGTACGGCCTGAACATTTTAAAGCAGGTGATTTTTCTCTTATTCTGTATCCTCTCAGGCTGTATTATCATTATTGCACTGCACTGCACAGTCACATGTTTTAGGATCTAAATGCTCAAGCCTTCATGGTTTCCGGACTTTTCTAGGACATTGTATCTAATCCGTTTTAAGTAAGATTATATTCCTCTTGCCTCAACTGGGTGATCCAACAGAAAAATAATCCAAAATGCAATGAAAATGAGTTTTGCAAAAGAGACATCCAGTTAACACGAACATAAAAGACTGGCCTTCTTAAAGCCTCCACATCAGCCCTGTTGAAATTGTGAAATTTGACTAGATTTGATTAGATTAGTTGTTTCTTGCCAGGAAACCAGCTAATGTAGTTTGAAACTTAAAAACTCTGCATAACAGGGTTCAAATATTAATCCAAAAAGAATCCACAAGCCTGTTAATGAAAAAAAGTGTATCTTGTTGGGGAAAATGTATTTAGTATGTGTTTATAATTTTCACATTGTATGGTTTAGAGAAAGCATACTAAAATTCCTGTGCCTATACTTCTGGTTTTTGAAACTCAATTAATAAAAGGTTGAAAATGTATGATATTCAGAAGCAGTGGCACTTTTTAATTTAGGCCATATGGGAAACTGCCCAGGGTGGAACTAGAGAGAGGGGACACATTACCACTAGGCTTAAAAAACATAACCTATCTGCTCTTTATATCAGTGTATGCTCATTCTCTAGTGAGTTGGTATCATTGAATGTTGAGTAGGTCTCCCCTTCATACAGTAGAACATTGGCCATAAAGCATGTAACTGAAAATGGACTTGTTGAAATTTAAACTTGTAAACATCTATCAAGCTCGAATTTTAAATATGTTGTCAAGAAGTTAAGAATACTTTACAATGCGTTAACATGACTTATCAGGAATAAAAATGGTCCTATACATTTCTATAGTGGTCAAATATGAAAACCACGCAAAAAAATATATGCTTTTGTGCCTCCTGGTCTCACCTGTGGTGGCTTTAATCATATCTGCTTCACTCTGGATCTTTTTGATGACTGCATAGACTTTGACAATGTAGGTAACCCCTGGAGTGAGATCCGTTATAAGGTAGGAATTTTCAGAGTTAGGAATCTGAACCTATTAAACAATTAAAGAAAGGAATGATTTAAACTTTTTGCAAACAACAGCTTATTTTGATGAAAAGAAAAAAATATATAAAAAAAACATACCTCCTCCACTGCACCCTCATCAAATTTGGGATGATAAGTCAACATGTAATACTCAGCTCCTTGGACAGTCTCCCATTCCACCAGAAGAGAGACATCTGTCTTCTGGATCAACTGCAGACCCTTAGGTGCCAAGACTGAAATAGAAATGAGAATTAGGGGTCAGCATGGAGTCTATAAATTATTTTCATTGAGGAGCTAATAGTTCTCTTGTCTTTCTTTCTCCATCATTTGTGTTTGTGTTAAGTGCATTACCACACCGATTACCCAAAATCACCTGACCCAGAATCATCACAGCTCACAGTGCCGCATTACAGATAATATAGTTAAAACCTGAGAGATAACAACATTATGGGCGTCATGAACATTTTAGAAATTTCTCATAAATTTCTCTTACTTTTTCTCCTACTGTGGACTTTTACAAAGGCACCAAATCAGATTAAACAAACATTCTCAACCCTTTATAGGGCAAGTTAGCGTTTTTGATCAGTTGCATACTCCTTAAAAATGGAGTCCCCCCCCCCCGTCCCTCAGTGAGGTCTAGAAGCACAATATCTATATCCAGCCATTCAGCAAAGATACTGCTACATGGCTGTACATCTTATTTTGTCATTTGACCAATTAGATGAACCCTTTAATGATATATTCCCTACTATAAATTAAGTTTAAAAAAGGTAAAAAGCTGATTGAAAAGTTAAAAAGAAGAGTTAAAAAGTTAATAAACCTAGTTAACAATTATATTTAGGTTTATAAACTAAAAAAATGTAAGCGACAGTATCAGCATTATTGCCTCTAAGGTTATGTTGTACCAAAAGAAATGTGTTTCTTTCACTCTCAGAGTGTTTTTCATGAATTTTTTATAGAAACACTTTTGTTATTTTTCTTAATATATTCGGGAAAGTTGGCGTTACTTGTTATTACATTGACATTAATTTCTGCCATCAAAATATCCATATTTTATGAATGTTACAAAGGTAATAAGGTCTTGCCCTGGATTCCAATAACACTATTGGCTTAAAACTTGGATTTTCAAAGTATTTCACTGAGCGCCCTATAAAGGGTTAACTTCAGTAAATTATCGTAAATGATCCTCCTAAAGGTGATGTGCTCCACTTGTGCATGAGTGAGCAAGTGTTTGTGTGAAATGTAAATCTGCATAATTACCATCCCAATAATTCCTTAAAAGGCGACAAATTTTCTGTGAATGAACACGCAGTTTTCCAATCATAGAAATTGCATTAAACACGAAGTAGAAAAACTTAAAGGTTTTGCAGATCAAGGTTTGCCTGAGAGATAATTAAAGGACCAGTAAAAAGCCAAGCAGTGGGAAATAAATTGCAAGAGCTGTAAATGCCACGGTTGCACTGTTACCGAAGTAAAAATAAAATAATGAAAATAATATAAAGGAAAAATCAATTGATCCGAAAACAGTCAATAAAAACTACTACTGGAGGTAAGAGGTGCAACATATGCTGTAAATATTTAACACGAGTTCAACATCCACCAACATGACAACATTCTGCTAAATCTCCTTTTAATACACACGTATAATGCATATCTATAGACCACATCTGCCATCCCTTCATCCTACTCTCTATCTCTCTCACAACCCATAAACATGTATAAAATATTGATATATTCCGCATTTAGTGTAAGAAAGCCAAGGAACTGCCATGGATGAAATGAATGCAAGTCTCTCTGTTAGGTACGAGGAGTGTTGCTGAACTTTCTATCCATTTTCTGTTCCAGATGTTATTTCAATTGTAGCCCGATCTCGGACTGTGCTTTCTTTTGATGATTTTACATAAAAAGTAAACCAGAGTCCCCTTGATACCGACATCCCAACTGCAAGTAATGACTCATAGAATAAAATTTTTATTTATAATCTCAGAGCTGCATAATACGTATTGAGTCGGCCTAATAAAATGAACAATTGCTTCTAAGAAAAACAAATGTAGTCATTTAGTAAAAAGCTAGATGTGGATAACAGCTGACTGATTACACAAGACTCCTCTAGACTGGAGCATTCATAAAATGTGTTCGTACCTGAGAGGAGACTAGCAATAGGAGCAAAAATGTTGAATGCGTCGTTTTCTTGTAAATGACACGTGCAAATAATTTAAGAACCAATTCATAAATGTTCTTCCATGAGGCCCCACAAGTGGAATATTTATTTCGAATATCAGTGACTGTCTACAAGTGTGTGTAGAATAGGACATCTGTTGCAGGAAAGCTGCAAAGAACTACACTCAAAACTAAAAACAAATTAAGTCGGAGGAGTCAATAATTAAATTTAGAGAATACCTGCTTAGTCAAAGTAGTACTCAATATCCAAGGAAAAGACAAAACATAAAGCTTATGAAATGTTCCGAAATATTTTGAAAGATACATGCGATAAATACTGTCCTATAAAATAATAAACCAAACGGTAAATATTCTGATACACTATGGATCACAACAGTATTGCAAGCAGAATGCCTGTAAAAAAAGAATATGAGGAATAGAAACTTCCTAACACTATTAGATGACGGAGAAAGAAAAAATATATTAAGGTTATAACAATAAATAAACTTAATTTTATGGGCCTAAAAAGAAATATCATAGTAAACTCTGAGATTAAAACAATCCTAACTCAGTGTCTCACAGCGGTGGAAAATAGGGAGATCATGGTTGTTGTAAACAAATGTAAGAATAAAAGGTCAAATGACATTGATGTAGGAACAATTAAAAAAGTTTATGATGGAATTGTTAAAACACTGACTCATATCTGTAATCTCTATTTTCAAGCAGATATCTTATCATGATCTCCATATCAAAACTGGAGATAGAGAGACATTTACAAACTATAGGCCTGTTTCTCTACTTCCACAGTTTTCCAAGATTTTAGAAAAACTATTTTTGGCAGTCCAGAAATTTTCATTGGTAAACACAAATTACTTTCTAAAAATTAGTTTGTATTTAGATTATAGAATTCCACATTTTTGGCAGTCTTGGAAATTATTAGAGGAAATCACAAGCTCCATTGATGAACATAAGTTTGTAATTGGTCCATTTGTCAATCTGGAAAAACCCTTCAAAACAATCAATCACAATATTTTAATCAGGAAAAGCATTATGCCATACATAAGGGTGGGTCTGGGGTGGATAAAGAGCTGTTTCAGGAGTTGGCCATAATTTTTGCAAAATGGTAATTATCAGTATAATGGTTGATTATCAGTATGATGTATACTTAAAGGCTGATTTATACTCAGAAACCAGGTCGTCTGTGTATGTGTCGCAGTAAATGCAAATATGCTCCCACCCCTGTCACAGACAATCTGGAGCACTGTCACTACCCGATCCTTCCCAGAAGCACGATCCGTCCTGCGCATGTGCAGGACGGATAGTGCTTCCGGGACGGATTGGGTAGCGACAAGCACCTCTCTAAAATTGTAGGTGACCGCAGACCGTGCTACAGGAGGCCTCTGATTGGTTAAATCTACATCCACTCTACACTATGCGTATTTCCTGTTTGGTACCTTAGCAGCTTGTTTTGTTGGTATGACCACCATTGCGGAAAACGACTCGTGAAGTTTGATCAGCTAGCAGAGCAAGGTGCGAGAGAACGCTGGGATCCACCTGGATCCCCGCTCTTTTTTGCCTTCATGTCCCTCTGTTGTCGCACAAACTTGCCCCCACTTCCTCATTCCCTCGGCCATATCTAGACCCACAGCTAGTTCGTGGTTGTCCCTCTTGCGTTGTGGCGTGGAATAACATAACGCAGACCACGCTTCAATATTGGGCATAAATAAAAAATAACTGCAACAAGCTCACTGCGACAGCCTAGTAAACTAGCCCCACCTGCCAGCAGCCAAAATCATTTTTGCTTGCGACACATTTAATCTCACATTTAGTCTAGTTTATCAGACTATCACTGAGACACGCAGCTGCGGGAGTAGCTGGTGTCCACCAGGGGTCAGTATTGGTACCAGTATTGATAATTCTCTGATCTAGTACAATGTTCAGTGCAATAAATGAACACATACCAGAAAGAACACAAAAATATCTGTGGAGATAGAGGAAGGGTATAGTTAAAGGGATAAACTTAATTTCAAATTCTTAAATTGAAGATGATTTGCAAGAAGGGTGATTAACATCACTGGGTATACTTATTCACTCTATGCATAGTATACTACATATTTTGTTGATGGTTGTGGACATTTGGGCTATGTCTAATTACTGTGTGAATGAAGATGTCTGAGTTCACATGTGAGTGTTTGTATGTGTGTTTATATGTACATTAATTAATTAATTTGCTCATTTATTGGACTTTGGAATTGTATGACCTCACAAGTAAAGTAGCAATCAAGAAGATTGTTTGTGTTAATAGGACAGTAAATGAAGGGTTATGATTCAATAACTTCCACCTCCTTATAACCCTTTACAGACATAAGCTCTAAATCATACATATAACATAATAATGCATATATGTAATTAAATATAAGTGTTATATTTATGTTATATTTATGTGTTTAATTTAATTTTAGTGGATTTTCTGAAACAAAGTTATTTGATTAATGAAAAGATCCTGAAAATGATCCATTCCTGTTACTTTGCAACAGCAATTAAAGTGACCCAGAGATAACCAAGGTAACAGCAGTCAATTATTGTTCAAAGGCTGAGGAAGAAATCCCCTCACAGCAGGTAAAAAACTCTGCTCTTTGGTGGCTTCACTGCAGAAGGCCAATGTGTCTCAGTGGAAATGGTGGTAAAAAAGGATACTAAAGGACGGGCAGTAGATATAAAAAAGAAATATATAACTAGAGGGGAGAGCAATAACAGATCAGTAGCCAGAAAGAAATATGTGATTAGTGTATGGGAAAGGGCTTATACAAACAAGTTGAGTGAAATGTTGGGACATAAATGGTTTTAAGAGCATAAAAAATAAGGCGTATATTTTGGACAAAATTTGTGTAAATCTACATGAAGGAGTTGTTGGCAGGGAAGGAATTTACATCAGGTTCAGGTGGTATTCCACAAGGCAAAATCAGGAAGCTTGGTGTTTTTCCTTTAACATGGACTTTTCCATGCAGGAACTGTAAGTTAATCCCCCTGATGCAACTCAAGGCAAGAAGGTCAACAATCTTTACCCTTAAAT